AAGACGAAAGATTCACCAGACACATTTTAGCCTGTTGTTCTTTTTCCAAGCTATGCGTACGCGCAGTTTTGATTATTTAACAATATGCTTGATTTTCCAAAGTAAATGCTCATGATGTTAGGTAGCGTTAAGAGCCCGTCGACCGACAGGAACGTGTTCCCGCCTCCTACCACCCATCCCGCCATGCACTCTAGACTTTTTTAACTTTTCCAAATTTCACTTAAAATTCGCGGAGAGTATCCATTGCCCAACAGCAAGCCCCATATTTTGTTAATGCTCTTTCTTTCCTTTTCACAACTTGATGAACTGTTTAGAGCCCTATGTAACATGTTAATAATTATGTTGTGCTTAGTGGGAGTTGTATGCGTAGATTCACATTGCAGAATTATACCAGAGTTGATAGGCTCGATCAAGAGCCCCGTTTCTAACGTTGTGCGGTTGTTCCTCCTTTCAATCGTCCCTAGTGTATCAAAATATGCGACCTCCTTTCTGCCCCCTGTATGCTCCATTGTAAAAGCTAGATTTGAATGTTAGCTGCTCATGAACTCTAAAAACTCTTCAAGGGCTTGCTGTCCCTGCGTCCATACCCCAGCCTAATTATTGATGTATCTAGCTAAGGAAAGGGGTTTTAATAGGCTGGCGGGCCGGGTCTTCGTTTCAAATTAGTCCGCAGCCACATCTTAACACGCGCTTGGGAGAGGGTCAAATTGCCCCCCAAAGGGTTTTCCGCAACAGTTTCCAAACGGCGCGGCGTAGCCGCGCGAAATTTTGCACAGCTGTAGATAATTGAATCGCAGATCGTCTGATACCACCAATTTAGATGTACCTTGTAAGGTCGCTGACCTATGGAAAGTCAAAGTCATGCCATGGTTTCAGCGAAATCAATTTCTAGGGAATCGTTCAATCTGATACAACAACGGAGTATTAGACGTAGCCATACATATCTGAGATGCTTTATAGGGAACACAACAGTTCAATAAGCAAACTAAATTGACCTAAGGCCAGGCATGAAGGTCAGGCCAAGGTCAGAACCAACCTGTTTACTCTAGGGCTTGCTATATAAAGTACTTTCTGGCGCTCATTGCCAATTTATTGATAGCAGGAACCGCATTATACATCTTCCATGGACTTCTTAGGGGTCAGAATAGGTCATTGATCTAAAATGACCCAGGTCAACATTTTCTTGTTCGAAACATGCTGCCTAGCGTTATCTTTGCCGCCTATTGAAATGCAAAACTCACGGCAACTTATATGATTTTGGTCACCATGGCCTTCAAAAGTCCAAAAAAGGTCACCGACCTTAAATGAGCATGTGATCTTTTGCTTAGAAACGGTTATTTATGCTCTGGGCGCACTTTAGAGACCAACATGCAATTTGACCCTGTTTGACCTTATTTGACCAGAAGTTCGTAACCTAGGAACCTGAGACTTTGACCTAAGTGAGTTCACGCACAGTTCAACACACCCTGGAAATTAAGTGTTTCTAACTATTTTAGTGCCCGAGATCTCAGGAAGGTGTCTCAAATTGACCCCCAAACCGAGCGAAGGGTATCCTGCTGGACACCCAGGCGTGTATTAACGTACAGGACTCATCATGGCCGATTATGCAAACGTGATATATGCGTTTATGTGTGATATGTGCTAGCTTTGGATCGTTTACATGTATAAGTGATGCTTGACGCGTGCTGTGCGATGCCCGTTCGATTGAAATCTTTTGCATGCATAATTGATGCACGATGTGTTATGCCTGTTTATTCCAAGTGGCTTACATATTTGAATGAAGGGCGATGCGCGATGCCTATTTCCTTGAATTCGTTTGCATGTACACGTATTTTCGCGCATCTTGCTAGTTAGATATGCACTGTATCATCGTGATGGCTCGCGATCGCTCTTTGTTTAATCCCCTGCATGTTGGTGTCCTGTAAAAACCGTGGCACGCTGTTTCAAATAAAGCGCTCAAAAATCAGGTAGGATCATCGGTAGAGAACTTTGTATTCACTTCCGATGTTGTTTCGATAAAGGCCTGCTGCCGAAATATCAACCCATCCATATTTCTTTTCAGGTTTTACTCCGAGGAGTAAGGCTATTGCTAATGCCTCCTGCATACGGGCTGCGGAGGGGGGGGGGGGGGGGAGCAATGGCAGCTGTGTCCCGTGCTGCGCTGTCCCTAATGCTGGTGAAGAGCACAGAAACATGCACAAATAAAGAGGTAATCATTAAGTATATGAGGCCATAGCAAATGGCACAGCCCTCTGTCAAAAACGTCACACATTATCTACACCTAGACATATAACAAAATACTTTTGGTTCATGTTTTGTCCATTGATATAATAAACTTTAACACGCGCTCGGATGCGGGGGTCAAATTCCCCCTCCCACGATGGTATTCCAGAATGGTTTCCGAACGGCGCGGCGTAGCCGCACAACATTTTGTATAGCTATAGACAATTAAATACGGATCGTTTGGCATACAAAATTAGATGTACCTTGTAAGCTCGCTGACCCATGGCAGGTCAAAGTCAGGCCATGGCTTCAAGGAAGTCAATTTCTCGGGAATCGTTTATGATGATGCAGCAACGGAGTATTCGACGAACCCACACATCTTTGAGGTGCTTTCTTAGGCAACACAAATGACGAGTGAGCAAATAACGTTGACCTTAGGTCAGGTATGAAGGTCAGACCAAGGGCAAAACCAACCTGTTTTATTGCTTTAGGGCTTGCTGTATGGAATAGTTGCTGGTGCTCATTTCAAATCTACTGATGGCAGAAAACGCACTATGCAACTTTCATGGACTTCTTAGAGATCAGAATAGGTCATTGACCTAAAATGACCCAAGTTAACATTTTGTTTTTAGAAACATATTGGCTGGCGTTATCTTTGTCGCTTATTTAAGTGCAAAACTCAGAGCAGTCTTGATAATTTGGGTCCCCATGACCTTCAAAAGTTCAAAGAAAGTCACTGACATTAAATGAGCATGTTTGCTTACAAACAGTTATCTAGGTTTTGAGGGCACTTTGGATGCCATCCTGGAATTTGACCTTGTTTGATTTTATTTGAACCGAAAGTGATAGCCTAGGGACCTCAAAATTTTACATAAGTGAGTTCACGTACAGACCAACACACCCTGTGAATCTGGTGTCTCTAGCTATCCTGGTTTCCGAGATCTTAGGGTGGTCAAATTGACCCACACCCGGGCGAAGGGTATCCAGCAGGCCACCCGGGCGCGTGTTAAGAAACCGCCATTTGTGCCCAGTACACATACCCCGCACCCGTGCATATTCCTATGACATTTCCTTAAACATTAAAATATAAAAGGAGTCCTCTTCTCTTCTTTCCAACGGGCATCTGTGGCTCCGTATTTCGGCCGGTAGATCGCTTGACACGTGGGAGTAAAGTGGCAGCCTTTATTGGCTCTCGTTCCAGAAAGGGTGCCCGATTATTTGACTCGTCGGAGACGGGCGACTGACAACTGACCTGGAGAGGGTCAAGCTGACTCGTCGAAGACGGACAACTCATTACTGACCTAGAAAGGGCCGAGCTGACTCGTCGGAGACGGGCAACTAACAACTGACCTGGAGAGGGTCAAGCTGACTCGTCGGAGACGGACAACTGACAACTGGCCTGGAGAGTGTCGAGCTGACTCGTCAAAGACGGGCAACTCACTACTGACCTGGAGAGGGTCAAGCTGACTCGTCGAAGACGGACAGCTCACTACTGACCTAGAAAGGGTCGAGCTGACTCGTCGGAGACGGGCAACTGACAACTGACCTGGAGAGGGTCAAGCTGACTCGTCGGAGACGGACAACTGACAACTGACCTGGAGAGGGTCAAGCTGACTCGTCGGAGACGGACAACTGACAACCGACCTGGAGAGGGTCAAGCTGACTCGTGGTGGGTGTCTTGTGGGATCACATGGCACGCTTAAATATATTGGGCGAACTCACACGCATTTTGTGGGTTCACTTATTCAACCTATGCCAAAGTTCTGGCATCCGGTC